ATTCCCACTTTCAGGCTGTGGTATGAGAAAGAAGCATCCAGTTTCCACTGTTCAAAGACAGCCAGGGAGCAGACACATTCAGTGACACTCGTGGATATCCCATGAGAGTGGCATAAGGAAAGTTAGGGGAGGGGCCGGTTCATGGCAAGCAGCAAAGCAAGCAAGCAAGCAAAAGCCCTGCACACATGTCAGATGGGTGGAGGGTGAGAAATGGCCACAGGAGATAGTAGTGTCAGTGATTGCAGACCTCAAGGAGATATTTCAGGGGAGGCCAGTTAGGGAAACGATCCCTTACTGAAGTTGGCTTGAAAGAGTGTGAGGAAAGCCACCAAATCAAGTGACAGCAATGCTGGTGAGGATGTAGGCAAAAAAAAAAAAAAAAAAAAACCTTTGTTCATTGATTCAGTCATTACAGAAATTGGTATGGTGGTTTTTCAAAATCTAAAATGGAACTAACATGTGACCAATCTATAGCACTTCTGGGTATATACCCAAAGGACTCTATGCCCCACTACAAAAATTCTTGCTTATCCACACTTAGCTATGCACAAGAGCTAAGAAATAGAATCAGCCTAGCTGTCCATCAATGGATGAATGAATAATGAAAATGCTGTGTCATATACAATGGAATTTTGCTGAGCTATACATAAAATTGAAATTTGAATGCCAATAGATGGAACTAAGAAAAAAAAGTACTCTGAGTGAGGTACCCAGACCTAGATCAACAAATGCCACATGTTCTCTATCCTATGTGAATCCTAGCTTCCACTCTTTAGATCTGTGTGTTTAACTTGGAGCTCCTATCGAAAGCCAGGAAAATAGAAGGGGTTACTGGGTGGTGAATGCTTTAAGAAAGTAGTTAGGCAGATGAGGGCAGAGTACCAGAGATATTAGGAATTAATTGGGTTTGGGGGTTTGAGGGCAATAGGAGGAAAAGGGGTCATATGAAATCAAAATGAAGAATATATGAAAAAAGTCATAGGGAAACCTACTATCTGCAAGCCAATTATAAATATAAACTAAAACGTAAGAACTAGATGAGCTCTCTTGCTTGATCAGATAGCACTACTCCTAGAAGTCATGGATTATTAAACAAAAACCCACAAGAACAGCTATGTTGTTTTTATGAATTTTTCTTTTCTTTTTCTTTTTGGTTAAAGGGTACCAAGAGGCCCTTAAAACTGCATGTTCTTCTTGGTTGTCCACCAGAATGAAATGATAAGACACCACATACCTAGGTTATAAGATATAGAGAAGTTATTGCAGAACTGAGCTAAAAAAAAAAAAACCTGTCTCCTTTTGCATTAGCTTTCATAATGCTGAAAGGTGCTATGCAGGTAGTAAGGAAGAAATGGTATCAGCGGTCTTATCCAGCTGTGAGTCCTATGAACTACAAACCAACCCAGGCAAGATAGGTCCACTGCTACAGTAGTGCCTCAACCATTAAGGCAGCAACCAACAGTTCTCTTAATGGAATTGAGGAACACTCTGCAGGAAGAAATTCATGCCTGGTGTTGTAATCCCAGGAAAACCTATGCCTGTGGATGTCATGAGCCCTAGGAGGGAATCGAATACCATCATTTAGCTAAATGTACATGACATCAAACTACAATCACTACTCTTAGCTTAATCAGAAAACTGTCTCTTTACAGTGAATGGTGATAATATGGAGACTCTTGGCTGTCCAGTGTACTGAGAAGGGACAATTGATTGTACAACCCTATAACAGGACATTTATGCCATCAAGTCTAGGCTCAGGAGTATCCCAGGAGATGTGGCAAAAGCACTCAAGAACCAGAATAAAGGGAGATGGGCAGCAGGGTGCTATTTTCTAGGCAAGCCACAGGCATTCAATCATGAATTCACAGCAGCTGCACCTCCATGCAGTGGCAATTCACAGTACTGGATCTGTCAACAGCCAGGGATGGATAGAGGCAAGGCTAATGGAGCAATACCCCTCCGTGCTGTGCTGTTTGGCCATTAATGGATTCTGGTGGAAAGGGGAGCTATTAGCTTCAGACATACCCACACTGATGAGCCCACCAAGCTCCACAGAATAGTTCCATACCTGTCAACATAAGATGGACCTAGTTCAATCCAGTAGGTCACAAAACAAAATGAAAGAGAAATGAAAATTAGAAATGGACCTGCAGGGTGGAGGAGGTGTTGACAAGGTTGGGGCGGTTAGAGAGTAGCCAGAATGCACTGTATACAGTCACGGAGTTGTCAATTAATCCTCCAAGTTTATTTTGGTTGTGATAAAATATGGAGACAAAAAGAAACATAAATGAGGAAGAGGTTTATTTGACTTGCAATACAATATACTGCCTATAATTTCAGGGAAATTAAGGCAGTAATGCAGGCAGCTAGTCACATGGCAGTCACAGTCAACAGCTAAGACAGAATATATTTTTGCTCCTCTGATTGCTCTCAACCAGCTTTCTCCTTCCTTATGCTGTTCAGTTGCCTAGGGAATGATGCTGTCCACAGTAGACTGGGCCATCCTACATCAGTCAACAGCCCCCTATAGACATGCTCACAGACCAACCTCATTTAGCTAATTCCTCAATAACGCTCTTTTCCCAGGTGATTTTAAGTTGTATGAGGTTGACAATTAGAACTAACCATCTCAGAGAACAAATTTAGTTAATGAAAATATAACATATAAATAAAAGATGTCCATTTTAAGAGTCCTATAATAAATCAGACCAGGGCAATAGATACAGGGGATGGTGTTTTTCATTTTCTATTTTTGTTATTTTAGAAAGAAGGTATTTCTAGGATGCTTTTAGTATAAGATCCAGATAAACAAACTTCACTGAAATAGTACAGAGAAGTAGAATTGCCAAAGGGGAATGAAATCATTCTTTGAAACTTGAGTGGAAATAGGATCTAAGCCTCCTGGGAGGAAAGAGGTGGGAAAGACCACAGGTTTATACAACTAGAAAAAGGAAGGGCAAAAGAGGGACTAGAAGGGTTGAAGTAGGTGGTGATAACCTTTCAATGCTTCCATTTTCTCAGGGATGGAAGTTTCAGGAATGAGTTCAAAATAGAAATAAAAGAATAGCACTCTGAATGCAATAGACCAGCCTTGAGGTGACCCGGGAGCACTCCAGGTCCACACAACAATCAGAGAATAAGAGTGAGTCTATGTCGGCTATACCACTTGCTTATGTGAGTAGAAAAACATGTGTCTGAATAATATGGAGGAAGGTAGTCTGGGTTTTATGCAATTATGGTCTGTTTTGTTGGCCTTAATATGTGACCTTCATAGCCTGTGTTTGATGTAAGCAGAGACAGACAACATGTTCACCAACGAAAATGGAAATGCATTTTGCTGATCAGTTCCAACAGCAACTTCCTTAATCTCAGTTAATTATTCTGAAAGGCATCCCAAAGGAAATCATGAAGCATGGAACACTCCTATAATTTGTCAACTGAAATATAGATGGGAGTTTAACTAATGAATCAGTTTAACCTGATTGAAGTGAGCAAGGCCTCTCAGTGCATGCAAAATTTCAGTTGAATCTTGTTAAGCTGGCCTGTGGTGAGATGGCAAGCCCAACATCCCCAGGCAGATGTTGAGAAGACCATCATATACAGATTACTGACTCTAATGACACATCTGGAAAATGGGCTGAACGGTAAACATACGCTCTGGGAAACTGTGAAGAATAGCCTAGCTCAGAATAGCAACTAAGATTATAGATCCAGAAAAGTTACACACGTGCAGCAGCTGTGCAGAGCAGACCGGTGAAAGATGAAACCTTCTGAGGGACAGAAGTGTCACAAAGGAGAAGGACATTATTGTGTTTCAGGTTTTAATAATGTAAATACATCTATTCATCCTACCTACAATCTATGAACAGCGCATTCTCAGAAACTGTCATGGCTCGGATGTGGTTTATCCCTATCAAAGCTTATTGCCCAATGTAATCATACCAAAAATGGGAGGGCCTTTAAGAGGTGACTGAGGCAGGGCCCCTTTGTGAAGGGATCATGCAAGTCTTATGGAGGATTAGTTCCCAAGAGCAGTCTGTTTCAAATGGGCAAGCTTGGGGCCTCTCCACTTTCTTACTGATTCTTTTAACACATGGTACTCTGCCCATTGCCATTTGTCTCCAATCCCATGAACGTCCCACACGGCTTCATGTATCATGTTCCCGTCTAGCCAGGGGATCCTTGTCAGATTCTTGTACTATTTGTTCTTCTAGAACTAGAGTTATGAGTCAAACAAGCTTGCTTTCTTCATAACTTACCCAAACCAGGCCATCCTGTTATAGGCCACAGGGAGTGGGCTAAGATAATAATCACAAAGCAGTATTAACTGATATTATAGTGTAATATTAATAAATAGTAACAAGCAATATTAATCAAAATTATGCATTTCTAAATACAAATAATATTATGTTCCAGACACTGTTCTGCGTGCTTTGTTTTGTATCAGTTTATAACATGCTTACAAAAACTTCTTGAGGCCTGAACTATTACAGTCACTTTATAAATGAGACATCGGAGGCACAGAGGAATTAGGAATTTTCTAGGGGTCACACAGATGCTGAGTAAAACTAACAAGATTTGACTTGGGCGCTCTAGCTCCAGAGGCTATGTTTTTAATCATTGCATCCCATCGTGTCTGATGGATGGCAACAGCCACTACAGTGGGCTTCTTTTGGAGGCAGAATCACATAGGCTTATTTTAAATACAATCTGAATAATACAAATGGGGAAAATGTGAAATAGCTGGAGATAGTTGATAATTAGGATGTTAATTAATTAGAATGTTTTAAAAGTTCAAATTCAGTTACTTCATTCACATTCCTTATCAGGCTTTATTTTAGGTCACAGCAACAAGGCAGTTTGGAAAAGGCAAAACCATGTGTTCTCTAGAGGCTTATATTCTTGTCGGGGAGAAACCGACAGAGAAGGAAACTACCAGGCAATAAATGCTATAAGGCAAAAGTCAGCAGAATGAGAAGCATTCTTCAGAATGCAGGTGGGTGCTCACTGCGGTAGCACATATACTAAAATTGGAATGATACAGAGAAGGTTAGCATGAGCCCTGCACAAGGATGACATGCAGGTTTTTGAAGCGTTCCATATTTTTAGAAGAAATTTCATATTAGTCACAGGAAAAAATCCATCAAGAGGAAATCTTAATACTGAATGTCTACACCCCAAATACAAGGGCACCCTCATATGTAAAAGAAACAGTACTAAAACTTAAATCATACATTAAACCCCACACTAATAGTGGGAGACTTCAAAACTCCCCTCTCACCACTGGACAGGTCTGTCAGACAGAAAATTAACAGAGAAATAAAGGAACTAACAGATGTTATGACTCAAATAGACTTAACAGACATCTATAGACCATTCCATCCAAACATATAAGAATATGCCTTCTTCTTAGCACCTCTGGAACCTTCTCAAAAATCGATCACATACTAGGTAACAAAACAAACCTCTATAGATACAAAAAACTGGAATAGCCCCATTTATCTTATCGGATCACCATGGCTTAAAATTAAAATTCAACAGCAACACTAATTTCAGAAAGCCCACAGACACATGGAAATTAAACAATGCTCACCTGAATCATCAATAGGTCAAGGAAGAAATAATGGAAGAAATTAAAGACTTCCTAAAATTCAATGAAAATGACCACACAACATACCTATATTTATGGGATACAATGAAAGCAGTGTTAAGAGGAATGTTCATAGCACTAAATGCCTACATAAAGAAGCTGGAAAAATCCCACACTAGTCAGTTAACAGAACACTTGAACACTCCAGAACAAAAAGAAGCAAATTCACCCAGGAGGACTAGATGGCAGAAAAGAATCAAACTGAGAGCTGAAATCAACAAAATAGAAACAAAGAAAACAATACAAAGAATAAATGAGACAAAGAGTTAGTTCTTTGAGAAAATCAACAAAATAGACAAACCTTTATCCAAATTAACCAAAAGGCAGAGAGAGAATATCCAAATTAAAATAATCAGAAATGAAAAGGGGACATAACAACAGACATGGAGCAAATACAGACAATCATCAGGTCATATTTTGAAAACTTGTCACAAAATTGTAAAACTTAAAGGAAATGAAAAACTTCCTGGATAAATATCACTTACCAAAATTAAATCAAGACCAAGTAAGTAAATCAAATAGACCTATAACTGCTAAGGAAATAGAAACGATCATCAAAAGTCTCCCAACCAAGAAAAGTCCAGGGCCAGATGATTTCAGCACGGAATTCTATAATATTTTCAAAGAAGACCTAATACCAATACTTCTCAAATTGTTCCACACAATAGAAACAGAAGTAACATTGCCAGCCCCAGAAAGACAAATATCATATGTACTCACTCATAAGTGGCTTTCAGACATACACCAAAGAAAAACCAGCCTACAAATCACAATTCCAGAGAACCTAGACAACAAAGAGGACACTAAGAGAGACATAAATGGATCTAATCTACTTGGGAAGTAGAAAAAGACAGGATCTCCTGAGTAAATTGGGAGAATGGAGATCATGGGAGATGGTAGAAGGGGAGGAGAGAGGAAGGGAGGGGAGGGAAGAAAATATATTGCTCAATTAAACAACTTAAAAAAAGAATGCAAGTGGGGGGGATGAGGAACCACCTCCTTGACCAGAGAACACTTGAGAAGAAACCTGAAGGCCAGGGCACCTTATGAGAGTGGCTGCTTCCAGACAAAGAGCCAAGCTCCCAATGAGTTTAGCAACAGAAAATTGAGCCTTAGTCTGTGTGACATGAACAGACTTAAGCTGGTGGAATTTGCCTACTGGTCAGTACTCTGTACAGATCTGAGCATCGTTATGAGTAAGAAAAGAGAAAAATATAATTTGGACATAATGAAAAAATGCCAAAAAGGTGTGTTTACTACATAGCCAGGCCTAGTAGCTCAGATCTGTATTGCAGTAACTCAGGAGGCTGAAGCATAGGACTATAAGTTCAAAGCTATTTTAGGCTGCACAGAGTCCAAGGATAGATCAGAAAACTTAGTGAGAGCATGCCTCAGTGTAAAAAAAATTGTAGAATAAAGGTTGAGGATGTGCGATTCAACAGTAAGACAGCTGCCTAGTATGTACCAAGCCCTGCATCCAATTCCTACTTACTGAAAAAATAGAAAGAAAAACATGTTTAGGATTTTTTTTTAATCTCAAAAAAACAGTTGTGTCTTTGGAAAATGAACACACATTTCCACAAATCCACATGATATGGTTTGCCATGCCTGGTCCAGTCCAGCAGGCCAGCTTTTCACATTGTTCTCTACAAATACACCACTGACAGACTTGTTGGACATCACCCATGATACACTGTGATTTAGATGACCCAAGCAGTCTAAGACACAAAGACTATGTTGAATGTCCTGGAGATCCTAGTTTCACTTAATGTGCTCACAGTACCATTCTATGGATGAACTGAAATGCCATGTCTGATTGAATTCATTTTAATCCATTTTTAGGTGAGACAATATGTTTTTATTTATTATGTAAACCTCTTTGAGCCAGAGTTTTCTGTTACCTGAGGCCAAAGGCCTCTTAATCGTATGGCTTTCTTTTATCAATGAATTTTATGTACTGTTTATATTTAAGGTTTGCATGACCTTACAGATACAGTAGATAATGAGAAGGTCAGCTCAGTAAACTTAGCATATCCATCACTCACAGGTACCCTTCATGCAAGAACAACTATAGCCTGTTTATAGAGTGTGGATCTCAAATGCAAATTTCCTAATGCTAATTCCTATGTTGTACATTATCTCTCCAGACTTGCTCATCCTACATTTATTCTACTCTGTCCTCAGACTTGTCTTCTTATTTCTATCATGCATTATCACCATAATTTTGTTTTGGTTTTTGCTGTTTAGAATATGTAATTATTATTTTTTAAATTAGCTTACAAAGCTACTAGGTTCCAACATTGGGTTTTCCCATATTCTGTTTTGGTTGGTTCTCCCATCCCATCTCTCTGCCTTCGCCCCTTTTCTTGGTATTCATTCAACGTTATTCTCCCTTTTGTTTTGTTCTATTGTCTTTCCCAACCCCTCCCTTACTCTCTTAAAAGTTTTTTTTTTTTTAATTTATCCAGCCATAGGCCCTTTCCAACTTTCCTGGCCTTTAACCATTTTAACACCATCTTCACTATAATTTTGTTTTCTATCTCTGTATATTTGATTTTCAGAAACATTCCACCTTAAGGAATCTTGCATATGTTTTTTCTGTGCCTGGCTTGTTCCACTTAGCATAATATTCTCCAGGCTAATCCACCCTATGGCAAACATGCATTTACCTTTGTATGAATATATATAATAGTATATATAAGTTATCATATAGACTTACATGCACAAAAGCTTTTTTAAATAAATTTACTCATGAATTTATACTGAGGTTTATTCTTATAATACATTTTAATATTCCAAGGGTTTTTCTTAGAAATCATAATGCAGACCAGACTCGTGCAACTTGTCATAAGTCAGCAAATCCAGACACATGGAATACCTCACTGGGTTCAATGACAGTATTTTAAATGTTTTACTCAGAAGCAGTATATGAAAGAGTTAGTTTTCAGTAACACTCACTTTAACTATAATATAAATGAACTTAATTTTATTCATTAGCATTTGATGATTCTTAGAAAAATATTTGCTGTCAAGTTTTTATGCTTTTGAATGAACAACTATTAATTTTAGGCAAAAAGGTGTTTTTATTCTCTGAGGTTTGATTTTAGTGACTCCTCATTTATGGAGCAGTGGTACAAGATGGCTAATCTATTCCTGGTTGCCCTCTCTCATGATCTTAGGAGATAATCCCTCAAAGAAAAACATTTTCTAAGTCTATTTCTGAAGATAGACTAGAACCAGTTCTACACGGTCTACGTGCACCATCTCACCCAGATTCTATTCTTAACCATGCTAAATATGCTACGGCTTTTACATTTTAACATGAAACACAAGGGCAACTATGAAAAGAAGAAGAAACCCTACTCCTCAGGAGGTTAAGGTAGAAAATACTGAATTTAAGTCTCATTCAGTTATGGAAGTAAGACTTACTCCCAAAACAACAACAAGACAAACTGCAACAGGCAAATGCAAACAGGAGACTGTGTTCATTTAAAAGGCTCATAAGACAGACTACAAAGACACTGATGGCACTGGGCTTTAATCCCAGCACTTGGGAGGTAGAGGCAGGTGGCTCTCTGTAAGTTCAAGGCTAGCCTGGTCTACAAATTTCAGGACAGCGAGAGCTGTTACATAGAGGAACCCTGTCTTGGAATACTCCCACCCCAGCAAAGAATAGCAGTTACCATTTCTTCGTTATCTTGTCAGTTATACTAGAAGTTTCCAAACAACTGGGGGTGGGTTGCTGCTCATGATGTCACACAAATATCTCTTTTGAGTATGGAGATAATCATGCTCTCTCTTAGATTTCCCTGCAGATGTTCTAGTTAATATAGGCACACTCCTTTAGTTTGTTGTGGCCACCAAGGACAACATAATCCTTACAGTAGTGTTTGTTATTTTATTGCCTGACAACAAATTTCACTTTCTATTTTTTGCCTCAGGAAAAAAAAATACAAAATTGATTATCTATGGTCAATCTGTTGGAAAATTGGCTATGGAAAAGGAAGGACTATTCAATCACTGTGGAAGCTTTACTGGCTAATCAAATTTATGTTCTTCCTAGCAGACACTCTCCTTCCCATTATCCCTTCCTTCTCTGGCAAAGGATGCCCATTACTGGTTTATCTGTCCTTCTCCTGCAAACCTAAGGGGCACTGAAGAAGGTAACCTCACCTTAGCTCAAGGGATGAGGTCTAAGGAGAGATCAATCAAACTTGTCACCAGCCCACTGGCCAAAATGGTTTTATGTTTCAGGGTGAAGCTAATCAAGAAGACTAGACAGACTCTCCATTTAGTTGGACTGTTTATTCTAGAGGGACTTTTGCCCCAAGGTGATGAGAGATTCTCTCCCTGTGTCTTTGAATTCTGCCCATTTTAGGTCAAGCAAGGTTGGGGCTGGGCGGGAACTGTAACGCCTGTTACTTCCTGCGCTCATCTGATAGGAGAAGTTGCTTTGA